AGGGAGAATAAGAAAGAGGGGAGAGAAAGAGTAAATGAAAGAGAGATAGCAAGTTCGAGGGAGGGGGTAAAATGATTTAGAAATAGTCACTTTTCTTATTAAAGCACTAATGTAAAGATTGGAACATCGATCCAAACTATTGATAAATAAATAAATAAAAAAATATTTTTTTATTAACCCCATTTAAATGGCTTAAAAGCTAAACTTTTGGATAGACTCCTTCAAAATATTCACCTGTCAGCTATGGACCCAATGTGACAGTGAGTCACAGTGTTAATTGTCAATGATGTTCTATAGCTTCTCATTTTGACATGCATACACTCATCATGTAAAAGCTACCCAGTTGGTTCTAAACCATAGCAAGTTGATGAATTGTACAACCCATAACCTGTAAGTCTTTCTTAATGTAGCTTGTAGGAAAAAACTATAAGCAGGTAAATACTCTGACTTAAGACATTAAGATTTATTTTTAATATAATAGGTTAGGTAGCATGGTTGTCACTTATCCTGTCTTACTAAAGCACAGCTGCTCTTAAAAAGTAATTATTGCTTGAAAGATTTGTTAATTACTAATGAAATATTTTTCTTCTTAATAGCTTGGCTACAACATTTTCCCAAAGGAGTTATTTCCCCTGATGTCTGCAGTGAGAAATGCAGCAAGTCACAGTTATTCCTGTGCCCCAGCTCCCATGCAATATGCCTTCTCACAGGTCTGTCTTAACTTTGTAGCTGTACCAACTAATAATTAGATTACATTTTGAATTATTGAATGGATACACAACAGCTTCATTGTAATTTTTTTCACTTAAAGTTATATCATCTAGCTCCAGACCTGCCCAAATTAGATTAATTTTTTTAAAGCGACTTGTATAATCATGAATTGAGAGCTTTTGTATTTGGGTTTATTTTCTTATGGATTGTAGGATAGAAACGTTAGGTTAATGGGTCCTCAAAATAACTCAAAGTTTCTAATTGATTTTTAATTTTGCAAAATACTAAAAATTAAATTTCTGCACTGCTTTACATTAATGAAAACATTTTTCTAAAATAGTTGTTTATTATGATAGAAGTATTTGTACTAGTGATGTAGACAATGTTAATTCTAAACCAATAAAATTAAATATTTTTAATGTAGATATTATTTGATGGCAATTCCCTATGTAAGATAGCATAATCCTTATTTAGCGCAAAATGTTTCTTTTAAATGATTGTTTATGAGTTTGATAGTTTACTGCACAGGTTTAAGATTTATTTGTGTTCTTTTTATAAAAGCCAAATATACTTTGGAATAAGCCTCCATACTCTGAAATTTAATTTGCTTTATTGTAATGATTCAACTTGTCATCTTTCAGGTGCTAACCAATTTTCCAGCATGTGATGAATACATTCAACACACAACTAGAATTATGAAGCTAGTGGGACAGTTTTGTACCAGGTAGGCCTAAAAGAATTTTAGATTTGTAAGAGAAGTTACTTAAGTAATCTCCTATTTTATGTACTAACAAAAGTGACCATGAATAATTTTAGTTTAAACTTGTTCACAGTTAATTTAAGGACCAATGCCTAATTAAAAAACAAACAAAAGCCAAAAAATCTACAAATACAACAACAACAAGAATACAGCTCTTACAAAAACTGACATATAAACAAAGTATATGAAAAAATTGACATTGTTCCAATCACAACTTATGTCCAGATTTTTAGGCCAGCTTAACAAAGGGGCTATCTTGCCACACTAGCAATAACTCCTACTAATTTAGTTAATGGAGACTATATGTCATTTACAGCTGTGTGATCTTAGAACCCAAATCAGGGTTATAAATCCAGGTAACTCCACCCCAATTTGAACCAACAAACTTCTGAAACCAACTTAACCATTCAGTAATCTCATCCTCAAAAATGTTTACTGTGCAAGCTAATAGAAATAAAAACAAATAAAAAAAAAATTAACAGATAAACAAAATAACATACCAATAATAATACTTTAAGACTGCAATGTTGCTTTGCGTTTCTTCATTATGCATTGCTCTGCTACATTGCTTTAACTAGTGAACTACGATCTGTTGGAGTGAAGGTGGTAGAGCCAAAAGGTGGCTACTATATCTTCCCAAACTTTGAGGTCATCAAACCAGCCCTGGTCAAGTGTGGTATTACTTCCTGCAAACAGATGTGTGAACTGATCCTTAAAGATGCCCATGTTGCAGTCAGTTTTCTTTTTTTTCTATGTATTCCTCTTGTCTTCTGTATAGTCTCATAATTATTTCCTGCATGAATGTATTCATTAACATTAAAAACCTTGAGGCTACACATTTCTTCCTGCCTATAATACATTTTTATGTTCTTTATGGACTTGGTTCTCCACTCCATGCCACACAGATCATTCACTATCCAGTTCAAACAGAATCCTCTTTAGTTTAGCTTTAAGGAATTTCTAAAGAAATAATATTCACAAACTTAATAAAATGGAATGAACAAAAAGAGAAAGTAAGGGAATAATATGAATTCTGTATGCTAAAGTTAAATGACTAGTTCCATCTGTAATTTGGGTTAGGATATTTCATGGCAAAATGCTTGATAGACAATACTATTGCCTAAATGACTTTATGAACAGTATTAGTGATCATGTCCAATCTGATAACTAGTAAAAAATTAGCAATAAGGCCTATGATCAGTTTGGAGTGATGTTTAGCAAAGCTACACTATAACTGGTCCAGTTTTGATGCTTATTTTCTCGAGATATGTACAATAACATGAGGAAATAAATTTTCAACATTCTGTAAGAAATTATTATTTTTTTAAAATTATTATGGTTCACTTAAAGTCAGTCATCAGCATCACCATATCATCTGAAGCTTCACCAACTTGCGACATATATTGCTAGAAATTTGATTATATTGTATGAATGACAGAAGAAAGGATTTTTGTTAAAGGAAGTGCTATCAATTGTATCAATATCTCAAACAAAATTACAAAATCATCTGATTTGATTCAACAAAAGCTTTTGTATATAATTTATAAATCCCAGATATTCTGATAAAAAAAATGTTGTTTTTACGATTTACAAATATTTGCCTATTGGATATATTTCCTGAAATGAATAAAAGACTATTTACTTATAAATGTGGATTGTGTGTTCTATTCTTTAATGCAGCATGAACACCATTATGAATCACACAAAGTAACACATTTGTGGTGACCAAAAGGTTGAACAACATTCAAATTAAGAAGAAAAGTAATTATTCTGAATAATAATCAATTATTTTTAGGACTTGATTCTGAAATTTGTAATTCAGTGTAAAGATTGTTAGAGTTCAAATGATTTAAGCTGGGGTATGCTTTTTTTTTAAAATTACCTTTTTTATGCAAGCTCAGAATTTTTTTAAACGTGTAACTAAGCAAAGGGAAGTAATATTAACAAGAGAGGTAATTATAAACAAGGGTGGGAATAAAACTTTCTTTTTCTTTCTCTTTGTAATCTTGCTGGCCCTAAATTCATGTAATTATTAAAACAAATGTTGACAACAGAGTGAAGCAATGCTCCTTTTTTTTTTAAAAACAGTTTGAATGATAACATTACATCCCTTGAGCAGAAAGTACATAGCACTAATAACTCAACAAAGTAAAATAATATTTATTACAAATCCACTGTTGTGCTTCCTTTTTACATGAACATTTCTGTTTGTGTTTGAATATAAAACAGCTGATGCCAGGTGGACCTGACCACATGAGACCTATTGATGAACTAACGACTCGCCTTTGTTTTGTTAACTTTGATGGTTCCCTCTCGCTCTCTGAAAGCAGACGAAGGGGATTAACATGTAAACTGGATGTGAATTTTGTGAAGGAATTTTGTGCTCCTGTCTATGGTGGTGTTATGGTACGTTTGTCTTGGAGCAGTTTTTCTTTATTAATAAAAAAAAATAAAAAATTCTTGAAGTACTAAGGGTCTGCTCTTATAGATTGCTAAAATCTCTTACTAGATTGAGTTAGTCTTGCAAATGTATTTTCAGTTTGTGACATATCCTTTCTTCTTTCAGTTACTACATTCTTATTAGGTTATTGTTGAATTAAATTATAAGCTTTCTTTTATATTGAGGAGACTATAATTTTAAATATTTCTATGCAAAAAATTTTTTTCAATTACGTTTAATATTATATTTTCGAAATATTTTTGCAAGTTAACTATCTAATAAGATAAAAAAAGTTAATGGGCTGTAGCAAACCAATAACAAAGGATTCGTATCACCAGTGAATCTCTAATCCAATAGACTAATGATGAAATGACATTCTAAAAACTCAAATATCCTTCACCAGGAACCCAATTTACAATGCCTGGTTAAGCAGATTCAGAAATAAGTTGAAAGACAGGCACAGAACAAAAAGCTATATTTAAACATGATGATTGTCTTTTTTTTGTTTTTGTTTACAGGCTTTGAAGACTTGGGTGTTGAAACTTACTCAACTTCAATGAATTCAGTTCTGCAATTTAAAACTGAGAACTAAGGGAGTGATGGCCCTTTTAATATGAAACTCATGTAATAATGAAATAAAAAATACAAAAGATTTTGTTAATTACTGGATTGTTAGTTATATATTTATTTATGTGTATGATGTTAATTTCTTGATGCTTGGTGCATTCGCTGCATGATCATATGCTTATGTGCTTTAGATGACTATGGGATGAAAATTTCATTTGTTTTTGTGGTCATCAGTTAACTAGGTTGTAATGAGGATGTACAAGGACCGACTACTTCACAATAGGATGTGAGCTTAAACAAATCCTATTATTTCTACAAGTTTTTTGGTCACATACCAGAATATTATAAAAAATAGTTCAAAGTAATATTTCTAGTTTGTATAAAATGGAAGTATGAATGAATGAATTTTATAAAAATCTTTATAACAGAAGCAAAAGTACACAGTTGTTTAAATATATAATTAGCTTCTGCAGCCTCCCCTAAATAGATACTTTCATTACTTTAATAAATTAAAAATATACAAGCTAAACAGATATTGTGTTGATTGTGTTATTTTTATTGAAACGAGTTTGTACATAAAATGTGTAAAAACATTGTAATGTGTACATAAATTTAAATAGACATGTCAGTAGTCTTAAATTAAAAAGTTGAAATATACAAAATTCCAATTTCTATTAATGAATGATTTGCCATTTTTTAGTACTATTCTTCACATGGCAAAATAAGTAGATCTAGTGTCATCAGTTACTTTGTCTTAACAGATGTTAAGTTAACCATTTGAGTTTGTTGGACTTCAAACTATTTCTTTTTCTAAACTATTTCTAGTTGTTCTAAAAAAAACCTCCCATAAAACTTGGATTAAAAAAAAAAGACTTTTTGGACATCTTGTCCAGTAAAATCAAGAAGTAAACAGATAATAAGTGGCTATATTTAATATTTTAATCTAGTCATGTATAGTAAAGAGTGGTCTATAGACTATTGTCCACTCTTGCTTAATTAAGCTGCTTTGAGTTAAATGAGAATGCTTTATATTTTCTTTAACAGTATTTTTTTTTTACATTGTTTAGGTTTGTCTTAAAATGTTATAGACCAGTTGAGATATTCTTGAGTATTAATTACAGTTAACCAAAATATGTGATTTAACTATACAGAACAAAGGTGTAAATCTAGTGTTTCTTTTATATTCTGCTTTATAGCAATGCAAGCTGAAATGTTTATTCATTACTATAGTAACATTTCATACGTAAAAATTCACAATGTTACAAATAATGCTCTGCTAGACCAAATTAAAACAAGCAAATGAACCATCAGGAACCACCATTGACATACCCTTTCACAAAAACCCAGCGAAGACTGTATGGCAGTGTGAAACAGCTGAAAAAATTAGCACACTATTTTGTCCTTGGCATAGACTAAAAAGAGCCTACAGATCTTCAACAAAAACTTGGCTAGTGAAACAACAAATAGTAACTGAGATCAACACATAGCATATACACTTACTTCCTAATACTTAATATTGTATTCAATATTTCTTTTCTAAGCAACAATGCAAAAGGACATTCATCTAATTAAACACAAGCATCTACACATTCATCTGTCTAATTCTTTTCACATCCTGCTGCCATGCAACATTTCATGTTTTGTTTCATTTAATTTTTGTGTTTCTTCAGCTTTCCAATTGAGTTTCCATTTGAAACTCACCATTTCTTCTTATTTTCATTTAACTTAGAAAAGCTCTGACACTTCCCTTAATAAGGCTCCTACAGAGAGGACAGTTCTTTAAAGGCTGGCTACACTCGACACAACACACAAAATGTCCACATGGAAGGAATACAAGGGCCACTTCTTTGTCCATGCATATTTTGCATACAGTCTGCTGCCTGAGATCAGTGTTTACCTTTTTTACCTCATCCAGATTTTGTACTGAAACATATGTTAAAATTAATATTCAAAAACAATTTTTAGTGAAAGTAACTTAAGATAAAAACTTGATATGAAGATCATATTGGAAACTTTTAAACTTTGAACTTTTAAAACAAACTTAAAAGTAAAAAAAAATTAAAACTAAGTAAAAAAAAGGACTTTTAAAAATTTTATCCACCATGCAATGCGATGCTTATAAAGTGTAGAAAAGCATAATTCTCTTTCTTGCTCTATCTCTCTATCTGTATCTGTACTATGTTAATATAAATACAAAAGACACAGATCCTCAGCTGTGACCTACATATTTTCCCACATCCAGGGCAACCATAACCATTATCCACTGGTGGTCGATTAAGATTTTCTTTTTGCTGTCTGCGTCTGTCCTCGGCAGCGGATTTTCTTTTGGTCTAAGAAAGCAATTAAGATACTTGAAAGCTTTCACCAAAGATGCTTGCGCTCCATCATGGACATACGGTGGCAAGACCACACTACAAACAGCGATGTCTTTGCAAACGCCGGTATGGACAGTATAGAGGAACTTCTAATGATCTGACAGTTACACTGGGCAGGGTACGTATCTCGTATTGGGGACAAATGTATGCCAAAAGCAGTCCTTTTTGGTGAGCTAAAAGGTGGTCAACGTAAGAGATGCCCCACGGAAATGATCAAAAGACCAGCTTAGGTGCCAACTTGCCTTAGATGACATAGAAGAGAGCACCTGGCTGCATGAGGCTTCAGAACCTATGACAAATATGTACAAATGCTCCTTTTTTTCTAGTGCTATTAGAGCATGGAATGGATTGCCCCAGTCAGCCAGGAAAACCAATGATTTGTCAGAATTTAAGTCATTGATTAACACATTCACTAGATTCAGTGGCGTCACTAGGGTGGGTGTCACCCGGTGTGGTCAGTTCAGGGTGTCACCACCTTCTCTTCCCCCTTATCTTATCTTATATAATACAGACGTTACTTCAAAAAAGAAGATGATTACGTCCTACGCGTCATGCATTTAGTCATGCATATTAACCAATGACTTAAATTCTGCCAAGTCACTGGTTTTTCTGGCTAGCTCAGGCAACCCATTCCATGCTCTAATAGCACTAGGGAAGAAGGAGTATTTGTACAAATTTGTCCTAGCATATGGGACGAGGAATGTGCCTTTATTTTTGTGTCTTTCAGAGTATTTTATTAAATTTTGTTTTTGTATTTGAAGATTATGGTTCAGTGTTCAATATTCTCATTTTTTTGTCAGTTGAGCCATAACTACATTATAACATTAATTGATTGTTAAACAACTATAAATGACAAATTCATTTTTAATAAATGTGCCCATTGTGAAAGTGTCATTTGTTCATTGTCGAACGAGTTATGCTTTTAGTAAAAAAAAGTTTAATTAGCCACCATTTTGTCAATAGTTTAAAAGGTAGGCCTACTCTTATGTATCTTTGGTCTTCTAGTACACCTTCCCCGCAAAAAAAAGAAATAAAAAATAAAATATAGGTAAAACAAAAGACATCTGGCTACATATCTTAAGCTGCACTTCTAAAGGCTATAGTTTTAGAATGAAAAAATTATTTCCATTGTGCCAAAATTTTAGGCAAGAAGCATTTCTGAAAAGAATGTTGACCATATAGATAAAGTGAATGTTATACACATCTACTAAATAGCTTTTCTGATGGTTCTTAAAATTTCCTGTACTCCTTATGGCTCCATACACCAAAGCTGCATTTTGTTATATAGTTGAGCTCGACTTATCATAAATTCAAGCTAACCCACATTCTAGACATTTAAACTAATGTAACTAAGTAAACTTTACCAGCTTTTTTCTCCCTTAAAATCTTATTAATCTGATCAGTGTGCACTATGTCAGGTGTGCACTATATCAGGTGTACTGTCAAACAAAATACAAATGTGCTTACAGTAATTTTAACTCTTATAAATATATCTTTTATGTGGTTTTCTAAAACATTTATACAATTTTCAACATTATAGATACGCTTTCAGTTATGGGTTTTATTCACACAATATTTCCATCATCTTATGGAAATTCTATATTCAATAAAGACTAAATAAATGAGAATTGGACCAGCTCATGTCCCAATTACAAGAAAAACGGTGCCTATTATAAGCTATCTCGACATTACTGACGCATAATTTTTTTGACTCAGAACCAGACACAATAGAATGAGACAACTTATGTTCCTGAAGCTAAAAGTCGGAGCATCACCAGAGAATGCTGACCATGCCCTTCAAAGCTGCATACTATATCAAGAGGCCAGAACAAAATTCTGACCCCAAAACCCTCCTAAAGAAGAAAAACTACACGGAGAACTGTCTGATCTGGAAACCACTGTGTGGTTCAGCTAAGATATAGAATTACTGATCAGAACCCCCCCACCCTCCCAATTGTTTTTCTTCTATACATCAATCATAGCAATGACTTCCTTGTCAATTTTATTAGTAGCCAGATGTCCTTGTTATCCGATTTTATCAATTGTGAATAACATTTTCCAATATCTAGCCACTGACGCTTACTTTTTAAAAAATTGTCAGTTATTCCAAACGTGCATTTTTTTTCACTTGGATGTCACCCCCCTAACGGGTGTCACCCTGTGTGGACCGCACCCCTTTAGTGATGCCACTGACTAAATTGACCTAGGAACACGCGTAGGGTGTAATCATCTTCTTTTTTGACATACCATCTGTATTTCATAATATACATCATTATTCTTTAGTTGGAAATATATTTATTATATAGATATTTTATCTAAAAAAAAAAAGAATCCTACAAAACAAAATGCACTTACTACAAGTTTCTACAAAATCTGATGGATATCTGTCACTGCATGTAAGTGAAACATCAATGTTTCTTTCTAATAAATAGTCGATAATCTGGTCTGCTGATATGGTTTCTAAATAAAAAAAGAATTTAAACTTATATATGGGGGAAACAGTTCTGGGTAACTTGATGATCAGAATTAAATTATTTATGGATTACTATGTATTCAAATAAATCTAGTGATTTATCTATTTATTAAGAAAATCTATAATTAGTCTGCAGGTATTTATGTTTAAAAAGAATGATTTTTATGCCTGTCCATGTTAAACTAACATGTTAAAACAATTGTTTTGAAATATCTAGCAATTTTTATTGTTACTTGTATCTTCAACGCTTATTTTTACTTTTATTGATTAAATGTTGATAATTTATTTTGTTTCATAGCTTGTATGTTAACTTCTTTTTGTTTGTTTGAATGTTGATATCTTATATTTGTTTTATTATTTATATGTTGATATTTTACATTTGTTCTAGAGCCTAAATGTTGATATCATACTTTTGTTTTATTGTCTGAATGTTGATATTTTACTTTGAAAATATATACATAATGATATGAGTCAACATCATCGGAGACTAGTGTTGGAGGCACTATTTGACTTGTAGATGAATCTGTTGTGGACCTTGGCTGTGATGGCCTTTCATTTGATGCTGCTGCTGATGATGTTGGAGGAATTCTCTGTGCTTGTGGAGAGCTCTCTCTGGCCAGGGATGTACTTAGACCTATTTTTTTTGTTGTTGACTAAATGTTATATCTTAATTTTGCTTTGTTGCCTAAATGTTGATAACATACTTACTTTTGATTTATTGTTGGAATGTTAATATATTTTATTTTGTTGCTAAAATGTTTACATCCTACTTATGTTTTGTTGCCTAAATGTTGATAACATACTTTTGTTTTTATTGTTTGTATGTTAACATTTAACTTTTGATTTAATGTTGATACCTCACTTTTTGATGCCCAAATGTTGATATCTTACTTTTGTTTTAGTGCTTGAATGTTGATAACTTACTTTTGTTTTCTTTTAAGTGCTTGGCTGCCTCCAGGACAACATTCTTATCATAGCCTTGTTCAATAACTGCTTTCACAG